CTAAAGTTTTCCTCCTTCGAACCATGGTTCCAGAGAAATTTTCGGCGTGCGTCTAGCCCACGGCATTCCGCACCGATACTGCTTTGCCGCTCACAGTTGGGCGCTGCTGCAATCGAGGTGCCTATTCCACACACGATTGGCCAAACAACGGCTAGTTGCCAGTCCAGCATCTCAGTCCAGATCTCTGATTAGTCGAAAGTCTGGACTCAACAGCCAATCACGATCCAGTTGTCTTCGGTTGCCAATGCCGTACCCAGAAGGCGTCAGAGTGCAGTATGTAGCCCCCGCACACACTTTATGGAATGAGGCTTTGTACATGTGTTTTTGACCTGATTTTGAGCGTTGAAACACATTGTGCGTCTTTGGTAGTTGTTTTAAGCAGAACACCAGCCAGGAAGCTTTAGACCGAGAACTGAGCTGATCGCGAATGGGGACCCACGATATCTATCGCAACTAATCAGCTCCAATAATTATTGCAGCAGCAACAAAACCGTTTTGAAAGAGTACAACAGGGGCTTATTCAATCACTGATTTGGAGACTGGATATCCAGACTGTATCAGCTATTGAATGGCTGTATACCAGTCGTTCTTCCCTCTCTTCAGCTGATGCAATCGCATGTTCATTTTCGAAGTTCGCATACGGCGTTCCATCTGGGTCGTTTTTCCTCCTGGTTCAAGCAGTATGGAAACATTTTCAAAACTGATCTTTCCTTGTTCGATGGCGGCACACCGGAGCACGAACGATATACAAACTTCATTCTTCCCAAGCTGGTCTGCTGTCTCAGCCCTTTTGAATAGATCCGAGCTCCGTCCCAGATACTCAGCGACCAAACATCACTGTTCAATATCCGTTACCAATGCATCAGGCTGGTAAAATAAAGGATGATTTCATCATGTTTGCCGATGTTGTGATTCAGGACAGTGAGAGTTTCAAGCTCAGCTCAGTGACGGAGAACCGGTTCAAATACCTTATTTTGGTATCCGGTCTCCGGTCGTGCTGAACCTCAGAACGCAGCTGCTTCACAGAATTGAAGGTGCTGAAGTGAATTGATGTCATAAATGTTCAAGTTGCAGTTTTCCTTGTCACAGATTTTGTTGATCTCAGATCATCATCGTCATCATCATCCTTGTCAGCTGTAATAACCGCGTTCTCGTCGTACAGTGGTTGTAGCTGCCGCAGTTTCGTTCCCCGATGTTTTTTTTTGGGGGGGGGAGGGATAGGTACAGTGGGCTGTCAAGTGGAGGGAGGGTTGGGAAAGGAGCTATGCATTGAAGGCAATAGCTTGGATGCACG